CTCTGCAGCTCTGTGAGAATGGAATCTGTGGAAAAAATCAGATTTCAAACTGTGATTTCATCCTTTTAAATAGAGCCGCTGACCTCGAGTTACCTGACTGCTCCTCACATACATCAGTAAACAGAATGGCATCATCAGCAAACAGGAGTAGAAGTCGCCTTATTGTTAATTAGCGGAACAATCTCCAGGCCTCAGCTGCACTTTAATGTCCTGTTAATTAAAACTACCATCAGGAGAGAAGAGACAGGAAACCTAGTATGTGACCTTGAGCGGTCTAGTCTTTCTCTAAGTGCTCTCAGCTGAAAAGTGCCATCATTGTTATTTCACTCTTTAAAAAGAGGAAACTTTTATTTTTGGTTTCAATACGGATCATAGTGCTCAGATAATTAGTTGATTGATCTTGCAGGAAAATCATCTGGACACAAACTATAGTATTGATCATTGTGAAGAGAAATAGGCTTGTGCGATATCCAAAATGTAATATCTCGATACACACCTGGCCAAATATCGCAATATACGATATTATCGCTGAGGGTGAGGGTGTGTGTTTCACTTGGGTTTTTTTTTAAATATCAAACCTCAAACCTTATTTAAAATTGGCATTTACACAGATGAACTATGTATCCGATAACACTGGCCACATGCTTAATTAGATTTTCTTGTCTGACGTGTGTATGTTGATAAATGTTTATTAAAGTGTATTAAATTGCATCTGGATTTTATTTGGATGCTTAAACTTGAGACGTGCACATAATATGAGGAGAGTAAATAACAAGTGTCACATAATTTTACGTAAAGACTAAAGACATGGTTGTTGATATGGGATGTGATTGGCTGACCACGAAACAAAATGCAGCACAGCTGGAGGAAATACTTCAGTTTCAGAGTCAATGACGTTTGCAGTTAAAAGTCTGCACATCTTGTTAATGCCACAAATGTGAACTTGGCTAAACAACGATACACAAAGGAAAAACTGAAGAAAGAAAAAAAAAAAAATTCCCCAAATTACACAGATTGACCACTGGAGTCTGTTTTTGATGCTCCTGCAGTGAAATCCCTTAAAACTTAAATTCCTTAAAACAACGTCTGCCAACATCAACACCCTGATAAATGTCCGACTCACTTTTTCTCCCTCTTTTCTCAGTCTCTGTTTTATTTTGTGTGTGTGTGTGTGTGTGTTCATATTCAGCTACACAAAAATAATGAAGCATTAAGCATGAGGTTCAGTTGTGTGTGTGTGTGTGTGTGTTCGTAGGAGAAAGTGTGTTTGGGGTCTTTGTCTGTGGACGTGGCTGCCATTGTTCGACTGTCTCTCTTGGCACATCATGACACATGACCCATGGTGTGTGTGTGACAGACAGGACAGAGACTGTGTGTGTGTGTGTGTGTGTGTGTGTGTGTGTGCATGCGTGCACTTTCCTGGCATAGAGGTCAGACAGGGAGCAGAGGGGGCGTCCCAGTCTACAATCTGGACCTGCTGAGTGTGTCTGTCCTCCGTCTGCCTCCGTTTTTATAAGTCGAGCCAAACATTGGAAAGAAAATCACGATTTTTACCGCTGATACAAATACAAATCATAGGAAGAATACATTTGATTCACATTACAATCTCACTATCTCAAAAAAAAATCAGAAGAAAACTTTATTCTTTAAATCAAAATAATATGCAACACTGGCCTCCTGCCTTTTCCTACCTTTTGCTGATTCACAGCAGAGGCAGTTATTGAATCATATTGAAGAGGAGATTGGAAATGAACGAGGCAGAGGAGAGGTCAGCGGAGGGTGAGCCGGAGAGAAGAATGCACAATAGCTTCTGAAAATTTAATAAAAGCCATGGAAATGTTTCAGATGTGTTCAGATGCTTTCAGGCCTCAGATGAGGGGAAGAAACGACTCTGGCGTCTTTATTGTGATTTAGGATCTTTGTAATTACGAGAGAAACTTTTTGCCTTTTGGTTATCGGCGTGTCGTCATCAGTCGAATTATTTCAGGGCCTGTACATCATTTTCCTGCAGTTGCATTGAGAAGGAAGCAGCCTGGGGTTGAGTTTACTTCCTGCAGGACATGAACTTGGACCATTAATACTTTATGTAATGTTTCTATTAGAATCCATGAAAGGACAGAAAAACAAAAATGACAATAACAGTGGAGGAAAAGTTACAAAGTGAAACTAATCTGTGAAGGCACCAGTGCTGCTTTTACAGCTGTAATATAAATAACAACACAGTGGTGGTTATTGTATTATTAATGAGTGTCTCCGTGTTTAGTCATGTTGACGTGTGCAGAAGTGGAAATTCAGATGGATGGTATTCTGGTATCAGCCACGGGTGATGAGGCCCAAATTCTCGAGGTAGAGACAAACTATACACAAGCTGCACGTCATCATCATCATCATCATCATCATCATCAGTAGTATGTCTCCAGAACGCCTCACATCCAGGTTACGTTAGACAAAACAATTTAACTATGTTCCCTGAACGCCTCACCTGCATGCTATGTTTGATGGTACAATTTACCGTTGTTCAAGAACGCCTCACTTGCATCCTATGTTAGATGAAACAATTTACCGACGCTCCCTGAACGCCTCCAATGCAGGCTATCGCTAGCACACATCATCAGGGGCTCCGCTGAGTGGGGCTTAGGGCAGCAGCAGTGCACTGCGCCTTAATGGGAGGTTTAAAGGGGAATTTAATTGTCATTGCAAAATGTGCCAGTATGAGGGGCCATCAGGGGCCCCCTTTTCCCTTTGGGGGGGGGCCCAAACATTTGCCCGGTTTGCCTGATTAATCTGGTCAAGTGGAGTCTGTGCTTCTGTAGTTATGAGATCATCTGGGCTGGAGCATTAAATCTGAGGAATGAGAACAACCATTCGGAGTATGGAGGATGAGCTTTGATTGGTTCCTTTTTTAAAATCACTTCGGTTGATACGTTTCGCCGTCGTCTGTAAATCCAGCTGATAACAGCCTCACAAATGGATCGGGACGACTGGGTTTGTTTGAATCGCAAATTTAATCCACTCCTTTAGGTTATTTACACCCCAGCCTTTTCTCATCTTATCTGTCATCCTCAGTCTGATTCTGTTTTTAAAAATAAAAATCTTTCTTTTTCTCTTTTTTTTTAATTTATTTATTTATTTTTTATAAATCATAATTTGATAACTGCTGCTGCTGCGGTCGCTCCCTAAATCCCAGATAATGAATATTTATTGTCTTTACGGTTTTCAAGCTACTTCCTGATGATGGAAGGAAACATTGTGTCGACTGATGCTTCGCCATCTGGATGTTTAGATGTTGGATGTTAGATGCTAGAACATATGGACACACACTCACGCAAACAAATGAATACACACACACACACTCACACACACACAGACACACTCCCACCAGTCGGCTCTGCTATCCCGAAGCATATGGTTCTTTGAGATAGAGTGGAGACAGACTGGGCCATTCTGTTGGATAGCACCGAGGGCCTCAACATTGTTAGAAGTGCTGCCAAACAAACTTCACCCCACACACACACACACACACACACACACACAACATGCACACACATTCTTGTCTTGCATCACTTGCTGCTTTGCTACTCGTTTCAATGCGAAGTGAAAGGCAGCATGGGCGAGATTCATTCTTGTTCCTGCAGCACAGGCCGAGTGTAACCGTGTGAAATGAAAACGTAGATACCTGTGAGCTGAATTACTGGAGGCTCGTTCCGCAACACTCGGGGCCTGGGCCGCTCTTTGTTCATTACACACTCGCGCCGCGGCTTCGCTTTTTGTCTGTTTGGTTGTCTCATTATGAAGATTACTCTCCAAATTGATTTTTCCTTTATCTCCTCAGTTAAGAAGTCCCTTTATTTTAGAGCCTGCTGTGCCTATAAGAGCTAATGTTATCGTTATGAGAGAAAAACTGGGCCTCTCTTCTTGTATTATCACAAATTAAAATGCCTTTAGTTTAATTCATGCCCTGATGAAGGGCTCTATTTAAACTCAGGCAGAGCTCCAGCTTTTTGTTATTATTCCCCGCAGTAATATGCTTTCTCTCTGATAGATAATACGAGATTTCTGGCAGTTTCTGTGAATTAATTACGTTTAATTAACAATGCCATCACTGTGCTGTGAGTATAAGCCCGCTTCTTCCACTTTGATCCGCAGGCTTTTCTGTAGCGGTTTCTGTTGCGGACGTCAAGCCGGATTCAGATAGTTTGTAGCAATAGTCACAGTATCAGCTGCAGTGCATCGTGGGGGTTGAAGTTATTTGAAAGCTCAACTTTCCAAAAACATTTGAAAGTGCCACAATTCCACCTCATGTTATTTAATGGAGGGCTGACAAATAAATAAATCACCTTTTCGTGGTGCTTCCAGTCATTGGACGAGCAACAAGATGCATATTGTGTTTATTTTACTTAAATATTCTTCAGTTAAAAGTGTTTTTGCTGCATTTAAAATTCCAGCTGCAGCTTTAAACATATTTGCAGACACTTCATCAATCATCATATTATTGCTGTTGTTATTTATTTTTTTTACAACCACATGTATTTCAGAGCGCCACCCTGTCACCACCACCCTCACACTGTCTCAACACCACAGCCTCATCAGTAGCTGAGACTTCTCTATTAACAGCGTCGTGTTAAACTGTGTGAAAGCTGCGGTTGCAAGAGCAGTTAACTATTAAACCGTAGCAGCAGAATTTCATTACGAGGACGTTTAAAGGACTGTCTGGACTGTTTCTCTCTTAAACTCCTCAGGCGGAGTCGACATTGGAAACCTGCAACATGTGTCTCCACCCAGTCATGCAGCAGCTCTTTCTCTGGGCTGATGAGTAACTAATATGGCACCTGGTTTTGACCTGTAATGTGAGCGCAGCCCCTCGGGGGGGGGGGGGGGGGGGGGCGCTCATCGATTCCTTCAGGTTTCAGCAAATTCAAGCTGCATGTCGAGATATCCAATGACCAGAGGTTCCAGTTACAAATCCCCAATTCATTGAACTTTTTTTGTGTTTCCTTCAGGAGAGTGAGGTGGTTCATGTCATCAGAGATCAACAGGCCTGCACACTGAACAGGTAAGGAACTTCCTCTGACTTTTATTCTGAAATCCTGTCATAAAAAAAAACAACTTTTCATCTGCAAAAAAATTGTTTTCTTTCTCTTTTTTTTCCCACCAATTTTTTTTTCTCTTTTCTCTTTCTTCTTCTCTTCTGTCTTTCTGTATTTCCATCCCTCGTTTTTCTCCACTAATTATTCAGCCTTTCTTCCTCCTCAGCTGTCATTAGAAACACTCGTAGGTTCCCATGATGCCATTGGCTGTTTATTTTGGTGGCTTCAGCTGCCTGTGTGTTTTTGTGTGTATTTCTATGTGTGTGTGTGTGTGTGTGTGTATTTCTATGTGTGTGTGTGTGTGTGTGTGTGTTGTGGGGCAGTGGGTGGGTGAAGGGGTTAATTAGGGGCTTCAGGCCGTTTTTTTTTATTTTTTCCTAAGAAATGAATCCCCCCCCCCCCCCCCCCCCACTCCCATACAAACACTCTCTCATATATCAGCTAATTACTGAACACTAACACACACACACACACACACTTCTCTGTACTATATTGCTTTTCTGCTTCTCCCCCAACTCTATGATGCTGTTGTAGTAATAACTTTAACACACAAACATCATATTCTTGTAACTGCAGGACCAAAATGTCTCAACGGTAGCAGACTTGATTGTGAGAGCTTCACTTTGAGGGAAAAATACTATTTTTCAGGCAAAAGGGACAAAGACCTTCATCAACCGTGACCTAAACTCAAGTCTAACTGTAACCCTAAAACCAAGTCTTACCTCTCAAAGAAGTATGGATTGGACAAAATGTCCTCACTTTCCAAAAACATCCTAATTTCACTGTCGATAACGCCAGATAGAGATGGTTACCGCTAGACCACGCAGCCGCTGGGACTTTAATCATGTAGGACAAGGAGATCGGAGGTTAAGCCTCAAGTTATGTCTCAAGTGGATAAGGGATTTAGAATAAGACCTTTTACACAAAAACACCCCCACAGGTTCTTCAGGCAGGATCCACCAAAACCTCAACGACACGTCTCGACCTGAACGTGTGTTGTGTCAACATTTTCTCGCCCGTCGTGACTCTCGGCGGCGTCCAGCAACGTTCTGGGTCTTCTGTGGAATTTGACCCCACACGACCTGACAACAGGGTGATGTTGTGGCTGCATCGTACTTCATAAGTCTGAGAGCTTTTTCCTTACTCACAGTTCGCTCCACTGTACAGGCGCTGGAAAGGTATAACGGGTACAAGATATAATAACGGTTGTTTGTTTGTTTATGGCTGCACCATTCAATCAAATGGAAATATTCTGGATGCTTTGCACATCATTTTCTACACATTTCCCCAATATTTGAGCCTGACATGTTTCATAATCGTTGGAAACTTCAGGATGTCCACCAGAATTTAAAGTGAAGACCTCCGCGATTTGAATAACGCTTGGCTCGCACAATGTGAGTTTTTACCGACTGACCCACTGTGGCGGGTCAGTTGGGTTTTAATAGCGTTGCCTTTTTGACCCAGGAGGAAGTCGCGTTGAATTTCTCTCAGCTTCACTGCACAGAAGCGACAGTCATTTTCGCACATAAGTTGTTGTAGTTAATCCTGGAGAGAGACGCTTCTCTCCCCCTTTTTATATGCCAGGCCGTTTTTATAAGCCAGGCAGCCGTAGCCTGGAAGAAGTCACCTCGCGCTGCTTTTGCATCTTTACATTATTGTGTTCTCTTAATGTGGAGAGACATTAAACATCTTTGGTTCGTGTCCTGTTTTAGTTTTTTTTTTTGTGTTTCGTCTGGTGCACATTTTCAGGGCTTGTGAAGACGTCTACCACACACACAGGAAGATGGAGTATGTGCACACAGATTACCTACCACAGTAATGGCTGTAATACCTCGTCTCTGTTACCGCCTGCAGACTGGCTGCAGGGTTGTTTTGGCCATTTAAGGCTTTTTCTTTCTCAGTTCACAACCTCAGATGAGTAAACATTGTATATTGTTTCAGAGAGTTTTTTTTTTTTTTTTTCTTCCATTCTTCACAGAATCCACTTTTATTTTATTTTTTTTCAGGCGGAGAAACACTGAATATTTGAACACACTGAACACTTCTTATGAAAAATGATGATAATTTATCGTCGGCTTCAGTTGGAGTGTGTTGCTGCGATTTGAATGGTCATCTGATCTGAATGACTGGTTTCTATGATTCGTTTTCTGTCTGCTCTCAGTCTGCCAACGCACATTAAAGTGTGTCACTACAGTGTATGTGCGTCTCCGTCTGTCTTCCGTCCATCACTGTTTCCCTCTTGCCTCCGTGTTCTCAATCTCTCACTCCCCTCTCTCATGTTTTTTTTCTTTCCAAATCCGTCTTGTTCCCATAAACTGCTTCATTTTCTCTGCCTTCCATGGGAGCGTGTAGCTTGTCACTCCCTCAAATCTTATGAAAGCAAATACAAGGGTGTGTGTGTGTGTGGGTTTTATGATATCTCTTTCTCAGGGTCGAATCATTCATCCCTCTCTGATATTTGAGGTGTACTACATACAGCCGATAAGTCCTATTCAGTTAGGTTTTATTGTTTCTCCCTCGCTGGCTTTTATTTTGATTGTCAGGATCTATTTCACAGATTTCCTCCTGAAAAACAGGTCACACCTTCATCATATGAACTCAGATACAACATTCCTCCTATAACCTCAACTGTGACGATAGGTCACGACTAGAAATCTGAAATCTAAATATAAAACTAAAACCCCAAAACCTAGATTTAAACTAACAGGACTGCAGACTTTGACTTGGCTCATTTGACGGCTGATAAACTTGATGTCACATCTGGACTTGTCTCGACCGACTCGTCTGCACTTGACTTGAGCTTTGTTTTGACTAGACATGAGACTCGAGACTTGTCCATCTTTGATGAGACTTATTTGATATTTGAGTCGGACTTGTCTCGACTAGCTTGAGACTTGGTTTAACTAGACTTGGGTTTTAATCTGAGATGTGTTTTGATGAGACATAGACACTTGAGACTTGACTAGACATTTGACTTGTCTCCACTGACATGGCACTTGGCTGAAAACTCATTTTAACAAGTCTTAAGATTTCATTTAGACTTGTTTTGACAAGACTTGAGTGACCTGGACTTGGACTCGGACTCACTTCAGCTTTTAAAACTCAGAATCATTTCCACAGATAAACAGACATACACTTTTGAGCAACAGTAAAAACTCACAGTGAATCTTTTCTCATCAACCCCCCGCTGGGGCGCGTTCCCTGGGGCCGGCTGCTACAGAAGAAGCCCAGCAGATGGTTCCAGCAGGGGGGTGTGAGGCTAGAAGAGACCTCCTCTCTTGTTGAGGCCACCGGGGGCCTCCGGGTGGATCACAGGGGCCCCCCGTGCAGCAGCTACCAAAGCAATGCATACATAAGCAAATGAAATGTACCTCCCGTGGGAAAGCAGTGATATGTTACAGCGAAGAAAAGCAGAATATAATTATTATGTAAAGGCACGTTAACAGGTTCGACCCGTCAGGTTGAATATGTGAATGCAAAGTGAAATGATTTACAGCATTAGTTGTATATGCAATAACATCAGTGGCATTTATGAAGACGAAGAAAGGAGCGATCTGACGCAGACGCCACTGAAAACAAAATCTACGCATTATGTCACTTTAAAGGAATTTGTCGGAACGAGACACTTAAACTTATTATATAAGACACAATGCAGAAGTATGCAATGAAAGCTCAAGGCAACCTTTTTTTTTTTTTTTGAATAGCTTTTCGGTTTCAGTTGTCAGATGTGAGCCGTCTCTTCCAGGGGTGAGTTTGAGTGCTTCATTAATGTCTAAATACTTGATGATTTTCAAATAACTGAAGTGGTTTTCTTCGCTGTCAGGAGCAAAAATCTCAGGATGATAGTTGACATGTGTTTTGTTCTTGACCTGAATGTGGATGGGTTTTCAGAGGAATATTTGTGGGGATAGAAATGTTCATCTGTGAGCAGTTTCAATGCTAAAATATTGGTATCGGCTTTTCTAAAGGTCAGGTTATTGCGCAATTGATGATATGATATATAATGATACATGTGATGATGACATCTGTTAAAGAAAAATATAGAATTTTCCTTGTTGAAGGCTCTTAATTTGAAGCTGCAGCAGGAAATGCTGGGCTAGCATTAGCAGTAGCTATTATATATCAAAAAAAAATATCCTCAGATATAAAAATATATATAAAAAAAAAATAAAAAATGCAGAGAATCATTAGCATCAAAACCAGAGTTTGATTTCGTTAAAAGCTTGATACTTATCAGCTGATGTATAAAGCATTAAATTAATATCAGCCAATAATATATCAATATATTGATACTGAATGATGCAAAAGTTCTGTAAGTGCAATATGGCCATAAACATCCTGCTGGTTGCAGCAGCCTCTGTCAGACGGAGGGATGTTGTTTTCCCCCGGTCTTCCTTTGTTTTTACTTTCTGGTGCGATCAATGAATAAATGTGAGGAAAACACAGAGTTTTTTGTTTTCATGTATTTGGTCCCAAAAGAATTTAACAGCTTGTTTAAATAAAAATGGCCGAATAGACATTGTTGTTAGAATATTGAACGTCGGTACAAAACATGAGCTCTCAGCAGATTCAGTCCAGAAAATATCAATACTGACCTTCTCAAAGCCACATCAGTCAAACTGTGGTGAATGATTAATATCACCACAGGTTCAGTAAACACAGGCGTTTTTTATATGTGTGGAAATAAACTGTAAGACGTATGGACGTCTGAGAGAGCTTTCATCAGATCGTCTCTTCTTCACTTTTCTATTAATCTTCTTCAACACTTCAACACTTACCTCAGCACGTCTGCTACTACGGCTCTGTGTGTCTGTGTGTGTGTGTGTGTGTGTGTGTGTGTGTGTGTGTCTGTCTGCGTGTGTGTCTGTGTGTGCTTGGGTGTGGGTGTGTGTGGAGCTGGTTGGCTGGCCGTTGTGTTTGGGTTTAGTCCCAGAATTGTATCACTGCGTGAAATTTGAGGTGTGTG